GAGAGGTTTCCTCACCCTTATAATGAATGATACGTTGTCTTCCCCAACCGATGTGAGATCTCACAATCGACTCCCTTTGGAGGCCGAGTGTCCTCGTTAGTACACTGCTCACAGTCTGGCTCTAATATCATTTGTAACAGTCAAAGTCTACCGTCAACAAACATTGTCTGTTTTAGCCCATTACGTACGTGCGATGTTAAAACGCATATACTAAGGAGAGGTTTCCACGCCCTTATAAAGAAGGTTTTATTCAACTGTATTTTTAAACGTCATTGATAGAACAAGTCCAATTAGGTTAATACGTCGATAGGTAAGTTTTCAAGAACGAACGTAAGTAACCCGGCGGCCGGGAGGAGGAGGAAGAAGAAAAAGGGAAAGTAAAAGAGTGAAAGTGGAGGAGGCATTAGAGGGGAATAATGGGCACGTGCAGAATCTGTTTGATAAAATGTCTGGCCAGGGAACCATTCACTATTACCCTCTCCCCATCATCATGTGCTGCCCTGGGTGGGTGCCTTCCACGCCACCCTTCATCATGCAAACATTTTCAAACCCATCATCCAAATTCTAAATTCCCCTCACAAATTCAAATTCTCGTACGAGATTCACGTTAGTTGGAGAGAAAAACAAAACATTTCGTATAAGGGTGTGGAAATTTGTCGTAGACACGTTCATGAGGCTGACAACGATACATAATGGGTCAAAACGGACAATATCTAGTAGTGGTGGTCTCGGGCTGTTACATTAAATCTTTCGAACTTCAAAACCATGCATGCATAAGGTAGAAGATTCAAATTCTACCGTAAAACAACACAACAACATAAAATCTCAGCCGTTACACTTTTTCTTAAAACGGAAGGTTCAAATTCTCGTACCTTATTAAAGAAGAATGTAAATATAAGATCCCACCTCGGTTAGAGTGGGGAACAAAATATAAAGGTGTGGAAACATCTCTCTAGTAGACGCGTTTTAAAATTATGAGGCTGATGGTAATATGTAACGGATCAAAACGGACAATATCTACTAGCGATGACCTCAGACTGTTACATTAAATCCTTGAACTTCAATACGACAGACAAAATCTTGACTGTTACTCTTCTCGTACCTTACTAAAGAAGAATTGAAATTGCTCGATCTTGAAACCCGTGCATGCATAAACGATCCATTTTCAAGACAGAAGATTCAAATTCTACCGTAAAACAACGATGACAGGACAAAATCTCGACTATTACACTGAATCTCGAGCTTTGAATATGAAGCTTCTCAACTCTTTTTCTTCCACTACTACAAAATTCTTAGGCGTGACAAGCCTAAGTGGGGTGCATGATCATGATATTTATGATCCCTTTGTTTTGATTTTTTTTTTCTTTTTTAATTAATATTATTATTTCTTTTCAAGCCCCCCACAAGCTTCTTGGTACTGCCACGTCACCATCACTATATCTCTATTTGGAACTTCCCTTTCCCTTTTTTTTTGGATTTTTTTAATATTTTTTAAATTGAAAAGAGAAGAAAAAGAAAAAGAAAAGTCAACCCCACATTCATCACTCTCATTAACCAATTGAATTCGTCCACATCATCATCATCTTCACTCCTTGCAGCAACGTGGCCTATAATAATAATAATAATAATAATAATGATAATAATAATAATAATAATTCAATCTAACTCCTCACTAGGAAAAAAAAACCCCGCCGTTTCGGAACTTTTATCTACCACCGCCGCCGCATTCCCCTGTCTTTTTCCGGCGAGCGGTAAACGTCTGAAACACGACGCTCCCAGCGGCTGGAAACTCATCCGCCATACAACTCCGGCATTTCAACCCAAGCGGCTCCATTGCGCCGGCTACCCTCGCCCATAGTCGATGCGACGCGGTGGTCGCCGTCGTCACCGAAACCGAGACCTTCCCCGGTCGGAAAACCTGCACCGCTCTCCTTAACATCCGTATAAAATCGTCGCCGTCGCCGCCGTCCTCGTCATCCTCATCGTCATAAATGGAACCAACGCACTCAAAACTAGCATAACTATACCCATCCTCCGGCGTAACATGAATCGTGGAATATCGATCGCCGTCGATTCCATTCATCGAGTAACCACAAGGATCGAACGCAAAATCACAGATGAGAGCATTGGGGTTAATTTTATGGATTCCGGCGATCTCCGTCATCTCTTTGCCGGCAGCGTCGCCGGTTTTTCCATCGCCAGGACGGCGGAAGAATTTCCTCGCCTGAGTCCGGTCAAGCTCCGTCATACATATTTCAACGGTGTATAAATCCGACGGCGGGAAATGAACCAGGGGAGTTTGATCGCAGGCGGAGAACACGTGCCAGACATGTGCGGTGATGTTAGAAGGCATAACGGAAGCTTTGCGGTAACAGAGGTGGTTAGGGAGGGAATCTTCTAAGTACACGACTTCTTCGTGGAAGCTTGTGTGGGGGAAAGGCTGTGACAGGGGAAAGATAAAGTTACCGCGGGTGTAACGGCAGGAGGAGATCGTAAGGCCGAGATTAAGCGCGTGGTGAAGCAATGGAGGGATGGATTTGAGTAGCTGTGTGGTGCCGCAGGTTTTGATGATGATTTTGGTTGGGTAAACGAAGAGGCTGGATTCAGACAACACATAGGCGTCGAAGTAGTGGTTGCCGACGGCGGAGACGACGGAGCATTGGACTTCGTGGAGGATTTGTTCTAGAGAATCGAAGGGGAGTTGACGGAGGCCCATGTTGAAGACGGGATCGTCGCCGGAGAAATGAAGCTCCAGGCGCTTTTCGAAGCCTTCGAAACCGGAAACGGCCATTGGGAGAGAGAGAGAGAGAGAGAGAGAGGAATTACAGTAGAGGGTGAGAGAGAGAATGGGAGAGGGTGAAATTTATAGGGTGGCGGAGAGGGAGGGGGAGAGAGAGGAGGAGAGAGAGAGAGAGGTTAAGAGAGCATGCGGATGAGGCAACCAAGAATCATGATTGTGAGCATTATAATGAAGTGAATAAGAGATGATAATGCTACAACATAACAATAAAGTGAAACCAAATCTCTCTCCCTCTCTCTCTCCCTCTCTCTCTCCCTCTCTCTCTCTGCTTAGAGAGGGAAAGACGATGAACAATCAAAACAGTGGAGAGTTTGAATTTACTCTAACATTGCGACAAACGTTGATTAAAATAATAAAAATAAAAATGTGTTCATTACAAAACTAAATTCTAAATGAAATTATAAATTTGTTTCTTATAATTTTTTTGAAGAAAGTTCTAGAATTTGTCTTTATAATTTTAGCTTAGGTTGGTCGTGGGACGCATCAACCTACTAGTAATCGGGGAGAAGATTCAAGGCGTCAACAGAACACTATTGTCTGTTTTACGAACAAAACCCCCTTAGCGCCCTAGGACGGGAGTGGGGGACGACCCTACAGGTAACTGCACCACCGGCTCTACAAAGTCAGAATCAAATCTTTCTATTGGCTTTCCCAATTCCTCCATGAATTAGAACGAAAGGGCTAGAAGCTCTAGCTTCTAACTACTTCCATTGCTTATTATAACAACGGAATTGAACGTGTTATTTTCAAATCAATGGATAGATATAACCTTTTTTCTAACTAAATTTATAATTTAACTATAAAATCGATGTATTATATCATTTAAAATTTTAAAGACATTATCTGTATAAGATCCCAATTAAAGAGGGGAACGAAAACGAAGTATTCTTTATAAGGATATGAACACTATATATATATATATATATATATATATATATATATATATATATTTATTTTGGGAGTACTATAATGCGTAAACCATCCGTTAATGATTGATATTAGATGAAAGTGGAGGGTCTAAACTAAACTAATCACTCAATTAGTTTCTTTAATTAGCATTAAATTTAAATCTCTTGTTAATGAATCATGTTTAGGCAATGAGATGAACTCAATTATATATCTCAACAGAAACATGTTTTTTTTTTTTTTTTTTACATTATAATTATTTAATGTGCAATGTAGTTATGACAATGGTTATATAAGTAATTTGGTTAAAATATAAATATTTAATGTTATAAAGGGTAAAAAATGTGATGATTAATGTGACATTATCATATTTTTTTGAATATGAATGCCCTAAAAATTTGGATCGAGTTTATATATTAAAAATTGTATCACAATTGATGTTTAAAGAACAAACATTGATAGCTTTAGAAACTACAACTTAATTGATGTTTTTATGTCTCAAGACAATCATCAAATCTACCTTTTAGAAGTGAGTTTGTAATAATTCCTACTATTTTATTAAGGAATGTTTATTTTTGTGTTTTAGAACCGGTAACACCCAAGCCCATCACTAGTAGTTGTCTACTTTGGTTCGTTATGTACGTCACTAGTCTCATAGTTTTAAAACGCGTCTGTTAGGGATAATCCACCCCCTTGAGGGCTTAACGTCTTCGCTGGCACACTGCTCGATGTCTGGCTCTTATATTATTTGTAACAGCCCAAGCCCACCACTAGCAGTTGTCTGCTTTGGCTTGTTTCGTACGTCGCCAGTCTCACAGTTTTAAAACATGTCTGTTAGGGAGAGGTTTTCACACCCTTATAAGGAATGTTTTATTCCCCTCTCCAACTGACTTGGGATCTCACAATCTACCCTCTTGAGGGCCTAACGTCCTCACTGGCACACCGCTCGATGTTTGGCTCTTATATTGTTTGTAACAACCCAAGCCCACCATTAGCAGTTGTCTACTTTGGCTCGTTACGTACGTCACCAGTCTCACAGTTTTAAAACACGTCTGTTAAGGGAGAGGTTTTCACACCCTTATAAGGAATGTTTCGTTTCCCTCTTCAACCAACTTGAGATCTCACAATCCACCCCTTGAGAGCCTAACATCCTCGCTAACACATCACTCGATGTTTGGCTCTTATATTATTTGTAACAACCCAAGCCCACCATTAGCAGTTGTCTACTTTGGCTCGTTACGTACGTCACCAGTCTCACAGTTTTAAAACACGTCTGTTAAGGGAGAGGTTTTCACACCCTTATAAGGAATGTTTCGTTTCCCTCTCCAACCAACTTGAGATCTCACAATCCACCCCTTGAGAGCCTAACATCCTCGCTAACACATCGCTCGATGTTTGGCTCTTATATTATTTGTAACAACCCAAGCCCACCACTAGCAGTTGTCTACTTTGGCTCATTATGTACGTCGTCAGTCTCACAGTTTTAAAACGCGTATGTTAAGGAGAGATTTTCACACCCTTATAAGGAATGTTTCGTTCTCCTCTCCAACCGACTTGGGATCTCACAATCCACCCCCTTGAGGGCCTAACATTCTCGCTAACACACCGCTCGATGTCGCTCTTATATTATTTGTAACATCCCAAGTCCACCACTAGCAGTTGACTAATTTGGCTCATTACATATGTCGCCAGTCTCATAGTTTTAAAACCCGTCTGTTAGGGAGAAGTTTTCACACTCTTATACAGAATGTTTCGTTCTTCTCTCTAACCGACTTGGGATCTCACAATCTACCCCTTTGAGGACCTAACGTCCTCACTAACACACTGCTCAATGTCTGACTCGTATATTATTTCTAACAATCCAAGCTCACCACTAATATACATTGTTCTCTTTATACTTTCCCGACAACCCCTCAAATTAATTTCACGAAAGATAGGAATTAAAAGAAAAAAGAAAAAAGAAACAATAAAATAGAGTAGCTAAGAACTTTTAAGATAGATAAGAAGGGACAAGGCGATGAATGAACAGTAAAAATCCATGAAAGGAACCTAAGTTCAGAGGGACAACATATGTTTGTCTATTCCAAACAAAGCAAATAAAAAAAAATAAAAAAACACAAAATAAAACAAACAAGACGTGCCCAAAAACATTATCAAAATGCATGCCCTCTCTCTCTCTCTCTCTATATATATATATATATGTATGTATGTATGTATGTATATAAGACATAACATGAGAAACCCACAAAAAGGGAAACATAAAAACAACATTAATCAATTTAATTAGCATCCAATTAATTAGGTAAAATAATTATTTATGTCTTTGTGATGGGTTAATTAAAGTGGGGGGGGGGGGGGGGGGTTTNGGGGGGGGATTTTTCATTAATTAAGCAATGAGTTTAATGATTCTAAAAGGGTGATTAAATTAGTTGGGGGAACTGTTTAATAAATGGGAGTTAAGAGAGGAGAAGAGAAGAGAACACAGTGTAAATGAGAAGGGAGTAAAATGAGTGTGTTTTTTTTATAAGAGCCTTTTGGAACCAGATTGTGGTCACACTTGGTTTTCGCATTAATTCTTAGCTTTTAATTTAAGACTATATATATATATATCACTATACAAGATTACATCAATTATTGACTTTTTCACTATCATCAAAACAACAAGCTTCTTTTTCCCGAGAGACAAGGGATTTGTGAGATACCATATCAGTTGGAGAGGAGAGTGTGAAAATGAGGGAAAGCCCTTGAAGGGAAGGTCTAAAGAGGACAATATTTACTAGCAGAAGTCCTTAAAGGGAATGTCTAAAGAGGACAATATCTACTAGCAGTGAGCTGTGAAAATGAGAAGAAGCCCTTAAAGCCCTTGAAGCCCTTGAAGGAAATGTCTAAAGAGGATAATATCTACTAGCAGTGAGTTATGAAAATGAGGAGAAGCCCTTGAAGGGAATGTTTATAGAGGACAATGTCAATATCTACTAGCAGTGAGCTTAGACTGTTACAAATGGTATTAGAGTCAAACACGATCTCCATCGATTGGAGAGAGGAACTTAGACTGTTACCAATGGTATTAGAGTTAAACACGACTCTCCACAATGGTATGATATTGTCCACTTTGAGCATAAGCACTCATGGTTTTGTTTTGGGCTTCCCCAAAAGGCCTCACACCAATAGAGAGAGTATTCCTTGGATTATAACCCCACGATCATTCCCTAAATTAGCCGAGGTGAAACTTTCATCATCCAACACAAATTACCCGTCACGTAATTAAAAAAATTATATTAAAATTGAGGTTAATTTTATAGAATAATTTTTGGGAAGGGGGAAGGGGGAATGATGCAAAATGTATGGAGTGATGAATAGGCGAGATGGGGTGTGGCTGGCATCTTCCATTATGACCACAATTCCACCTATTTGAACGGCATGCGCACCCACCAAACTTACCTCCAACCACTTCTATTTCCATCTACCCCCCCTTTTCTTTTTTAATCAAACAATATTATGCTTTTAAATAATTAAATAATATTTTTATATTTTCTTATATTTATCTAAACAATAATCTTATATATATATATATATATATATAACAATAATAATAATATTGTTTTTTTTTTAAAGTAGTCAACCAAAAACCACTTTTGGTTATCAATCTTTTGCTTAAACTCACACCTCTAATAACAAATAATAATAATAATAATGTTTTTTTTTTTTTTTAAATTTGGGTTTTGTTGATGTGGGACCCACAAAGACATCCTTTTAGGCTTTTTGGGAACACAATAAGCCTTTAGCACACACAAAAATCATGGAACTTCCTTCTACAACTCTATGATTGGGTCCCACAAATCGGCCATATGTTGCCCCCCGACAACTACCCATAAAGGTGGGGACCACCGAACCATGAAATCATCCGACGTGTGTCACCAGCTCAACTCAATGGGGCCCACAGATGCCTCTGTTTTGTCTTTTTGTAGTTCGACAAGTCGTCCCCACTTATAGGGGCCACTTGTTTTGTGCGACAATCGTCACAGTGCTTACAAAATTTTAGCTGATAGCCGCCATATATGGATTTGGTTTTTGCACGCCTTAAAACACACTGAATAACACGTGGCTATTTGCTGCCTTTTTTTTAAATAAATAAATTAAAAAAAAAACACTCCGTAATTACTAGTAAGCCCCCCTCCCTCCCCCTGCAGGACTCCCCCATTGTACCATGCGTAGCACATTTGCACTATTGCTATCTTATATTGCCTTGTGGGACCCACACTTTTAATATTTTTCTTACATTTAAAATGTGTATTATAGTCTCTGAAAATTAAAAAAAATTAAATCATTTAGTCACTAAATTTACTAAAATTTCTAAACACGAGGGTTTCACTCGTTGTGGGACTTAACCCAACACCTTACAGCACGAGCTGACAACAGCCATGCACCACCTGTGTCCACGTTCCCGAATGCACCCCTCTCTTTTAGGATTCGTGGCATGTCAAGCCCTAGTAAGGTTCTTCGCTTTGCATCGAATTCAACCACATGCTCCACCGCTTGTGTGAACCCTCGTCGATTCCTTTGAGTTTCATTATTAGACAGGATACTTAACGCGTTAGCTACAGCACTGCACGGGTCGATATGCACAGCGCCTAGTATCCATCGTTTACGGCTAGGACTATTGGAGGATCTAATCTCATTCGCTTCCCTAACTTTCGTCTCTCAGTGTCAGTGTCAGTGTCAACCCAGCAGAGTGTTTTCATCGTTGGTGTTCTTTCCAATTTCTACGCATTTCACCGCTCCACCGGAAACTCCCTCTGCCCCTACCATACTCCAGCTTGATAGTTTCCACCACCTGTTCAGGGTTATTATGTGACTGTCTCATAACTCGAAAGGAACCACGAAGCAATTGTGTGAAAACACGCCCCATTATTTCATTTTCAAAATGCCATTGCTTTTGCAACCAAATCCTTCCTCTTTCTCTCTCATGTTCATATATATATATATATATATATATATATTTATGAGAATCTAACTCAATTACTCCACGCAAAGGTGTATGATTCTGGTGTGTGACTTTTGGAAGGACCCTTATCCCTTGGGCTAAGGAAGGCCATCAACGGCGTGCTCTAATTCCCCCATTCCCTTACTCAATAAGGTTCTCACCATGCCCATTCCTTTTGCCTTCCTTCCTTCCTTTCCTCTTACATCAAATTTTATTTATTTATGGAACTTCACGTTCTGTCTTTTTCTTACAACCAATCATTAAACCTACACTATTTTCCTAATTTTTCTTATTAATATTTTCCTCTCAATCACCTCAAAAACCACCTTCTAACCACCAAAATCCATTTCCCATCCAAATTAAGATAGTGTTTCTTTTTGCTCCTTGTGTATTGTCATTGGCCTCACAGTTTTAAATCGAAGAAATGCTTCATTCTCCTCTCCAACCGATGTGAGATCTCACAATCAACTCTTTTGGGAGACCCAACATCCTCACTGGCACACCGATCAGTGCTTGGTTCTGATACCATTTGTAACAATCAAGCCACTGCCAGTAGATTGTTGGGATATGGAGCATGATCCCTAGATCTGGTAGAGATATATTTAGAAGATATATATGGTAGATATTTGATAAAGATTTGACAGACATATATTTGATAATTATATCTAGTTTAAATCTTTAGAAGCTATATTTAGTAAATGTACTTCCTCCCTTCTTTGTATTCTCTTCCCCCTTCTGTATTCTTTGTTGTACATCTCTGAAGTCATCCATATAAAACCTTTAGCCAATATTCCTCCTTGTATTTTCTTCTTTGTGTTCATCTGGATCGAGTATGTGCATTGTCGAACGATCCTAGCAATTGGTATCAGAGCTAACAACTGGTATCAATCCTAACATAGATTTTGTCCATTTTGTCCCGTTACGTCATCAGCCTCACAGTTTTAAAACACTCTACTATATAAAACTTGCCACATCTCTAACACCTCTTCAATATTTGAATTCGTCTGGAACTCATGACTAAGAACACAATTTACGAGTTCTTATAATTTTAGTACGATATATACTTTATCGTGATACCCTAATTAGGACATTTTTAGTTAATTTATAGAAAAGTTATTCACCGAGGCACCGACTTTCATAATCAAGTCGTTTCTCTAATTATGAAATCTTGCTTCTCGATCTCCCCTTTAAAATTTTTGTCGTTGGTTTTATCCACCTTACCGAACAAAGCTAATGTAGATCCGACATTCTATTGGCTATTAGAATCGAGGATTGAAATTAGAGGAGAATATAGACAAGAATCCTTCCCCATGATGAGGGCAAGGCGATGGTTCAAAATCCTTTCACGTGAATGCTTGGGAGATTAAACCCCAAGGATACGTGGACCAAGCTACTTATACGATGAGGACCATGCTATATTTTAACCTCCCATCATCCATTGTCTAATAGAAAAAAAAATAATAAATTACAAGACTTCTCTCTCATTCATGCTAATTGATTACGTGTTGGACCATTTCGGGCATAGATCTCGACTTATTCAATATATCTGATACCAGATTCTCGAAACTCGACTTTTACACACATATTTACTAGACCCATTACTCGAATCCAAATTCCTATCAAATAATTTCAAGGTAGCAAACATTTTTGAGAATTTCTCTTAGATTCGAACCCATAGCTGATGATAGAACTAGAATAGATATCTTTTGATTCCTATTCATATGAGCCTATATACTTGCTTTTCGATCCATCTCTAATACTAATCTTCCTCCTCAATAGATATTGTCCGATTTATTCGGTTTATCGGGTACCAGGCTCTTGGAACTCGACTTTTATACATGTAACAAGTCGAAGTCTACTGCAATAGATATTGTCTGATTTGGTTCTTACGTATTGTCATCAGTCTCACAATTTTGAAATGCGTCTGTTAAGAGAGGTTTCTACACCTTTATAAGAAATGTTCTGTTCTCTCATCCAACTAATATGGGATCTCACGATACACCTGCCCACCAGCCCACAAAGTTACACAAATCTTAGACCTTCCGACTTCAAATTTCTAAACTCCACAATTATAATGAAGTTGTAAGTTTAGTTGCCCTTTTTGGTTCACAAAAGGTGAAATGTTTTCCCTGATGGCTCACTTGGGCTTCCTGTCCTATAAGCTACTGACATAAAGATGCTGTCATTTGGAGGGGCCCATGTGGTAGGCCCACAAAGGTTAAGAGAGAGAGAGAGAGAGAGAGAGAGAGGAGAATTAATAGTTTCTCCAAGCCCTACTAGGCCCACAATAGCCCTAGAGAGAGAAATCTAGAGAGAATAGGTTCACCCAACCCCATCTTGTGGCAAGAAGCCATTTGGAAAGGTAATATTATAAGGTAGAGAAAGGGAGAGTGAAGGCATGGAATTGTAAGCATGGAGGGCACCATGTTCCCTCTGTTCCAAACCCTCTGTCCTCTACAAAAAAGTTGAATTACTTTATATATATATATATATATATATATTAAAAAAATCCCACCAATATCCCCTAAAACATTCTCTCAACTCGAGTAAACTCGAACCCCAATTTTGATTTTTCTTTCTTTCCTATGAAAATTTACACCTGGAAAAGCGTGGGCGAGCAATAATCGACATCTCGGAACTCTAAATACACCTTTTCTTTTCTCTTTTCCTTGAGGTTCTTAATGTAAGAAATAAGATTCTTTAGAACATTATTAATAATAACACCCTATCTCTCGAGAACTCGAGAGTTAGAAAGTGTGACAAACACCATCACCTCTAAGAGAAGAAAGGTACACGTAACTATTAATAAATCAAATTAAAATAACATATATATATATATATATATATATTTTATAATGAATAAAAAAGAAGTTTAAATATTATTTTTTCCCTCAACTAGACCCACTAAAATACACCAACTGAATCACATTTTAACTAAAATATTTAGGATAGACAAAAGGATAAAAATGATATATATATAAAGTTGAGGGACTATAACATAGAAAGTTCAAAGTTTAGGGACAAAAGTATGATTTAAACTTTATAATATCATATTTTTTAAAGAAACAAAATTCAAAATTTTGGATTAGAAGTTGTTTCAAATTAAAAATCAATAGCCCCTTTTCTTTTTGAAGATTTTTACAATTTTTTTTAATGAAATACGTTTGAATTATGAGTGGCTCTATCTATCTCTCTCTCTCTCTAGGGTGGTCTTAGGTAGGATTTGATAGCGAGGATTTTGAGAGTACCGAGGAGTACCTTGAGAAGACCAGAGGTGATTGTGAGGGGCATCAGATGAGCATCCAGGCAGACAAGTGCAATTAGAGAGTACCAAAAAGTTCCTCTGCATGCACTGATAATGAGATCGGGACGAGCAGGTGCACACTGCTTTTAAATAAAAATAAATATAAATCTATTAACCCCAAATAAATATTCAAAAATATATACAGCACAATGATTTTGATGTTCTTTTGTAATCATTAGCTTATGTGCATGACATGACGCCAATCATACATTTTTTGTTTATACAATTTTAAAGATATTAAAAAACAAATCTTATCTTATATCTTCAAGGAAAAAAAAAAAAAAAAGAAAGACTACGCAAACATCACCTAATAGAATAGCTAATATGAATTATCACCCTATTAATTAACAAAAGAATATCTATGTGAGGATAACAAAACATTTTTTATAAGGATGCAGAAATCTTCGGGAAAACTCGAAAGAAAAAGCTTAAATAAGACAATATCTACTAACGATGGACTTGAGATATTACAAATGGGATCAGAGTCAGACACTAGGTGATGTGCTAGCAAGGAGGCTTTGCTCTAAACGGGGGACACAAGACAGTGTGCTAGCAAGGATGCTGTGCCCTAAAGAGGGTGGATTGAGGGGAAGTCCCGTATCGATTGAAGAAGGGAACGAATGCTAGCAAGGATGTTGGGTCCTGAAAAGGGTGGATTGTGAGATCTTACATCGGTTGAGAAGAAGAATGAAGCATTCTTTTTATCTAGCAAACGAGTTTTAAAAAACCTTAAAAGAAAAGCCTAGAGGGAAAACCCAAATTATAAAATTTGCAAACAAAAGAAGTATAATTTGTTGTAGAATTTTCTAATGCATAGATGCACTTTGGAAGTGTATTCTTAGTGAATGGAGAAGAAAACTATGGCTTAACATGCATGATCCACAGGGAAATAAGGGCAAAGTGGTAATTTTCCCTTCTCGTATAGTAACTTGCAAGTGCATGAAGATAATTTCAAGCACTCACCAATTCGCCATGAATATAATTGCAATTGTCGATGCACGTTTTGAGCCCAACTCCGGCCATGAATTGGGTCGTCTCTTTTTCAAGATCATATTTTCTATAAAAATATATAGACAATAAAAAATAAATAAAAAAACAAATCAGATTACCATAAAATTTAATAACAACGCAAGAAGAGCAGTGTCCCCTAAAATTCATCCTGGTGGTGTAGGTGTATGGTGATAAAACGCCATCTAGAATCTCAAAAGTGAATCCAGGCAGTCTTATACAGGCAAGAGATCTTCTATTTCGAATGCCTAATTTCACGCTCAAGTTTCGATAAGATATAATTTCAACGTTAAAGTACAAACGAGCATTGTGCAACGAAGTGACAAGCACAGTCATTTTGCTCACTAGAAGGATTTATCAGCAAAATTGTACTGTTGAGTGGCATGTCGTGTCTTGAATGAAATATAATTAAATAAAAATATACAAGTTCTTTACTAGAGCAGATATGCTAAGATTATCGCAATTGTATAGTGCAGAGATAACAATCGCAATAGACTGGTAGCCACCAAAAAACACGATATATATGTCTCTTGAAGTTGTGGCATTTACCAGCTATATTTTTTCTGAGGCAACAGACGGGCACTTATCCAAGGTGTTCCACAAAATGTAATCCCCCGAAGTTACCTGTTTATTTAGATAATGAAATGAATAGGTCAATTTTGTTTTTTTAGAAACTTAATAACAGAAACCGACAATATTATAGCTCACAGACCACATGTGCTTTTCATTTCATTATGGGAAATTTTTTCAATATGAATATAGCAGAAGAATGCGCTATGTGATACATGCAAGCTTTTGCATGGAGTTGTAGAACAGAAAAACGTTCTCTCCTATTTGTTTTTTTTTTTTTTTTAATTCGACCGGGGACTGCCAAGCTAATATCTGCCTACATCACCACTTTTGAAGGAGGATCGGAAACCATGAACTAGATCAGAATCATTCTCAACGAGTCCATAAGAAGTGATCCCATTTTTTTCTTTTTCTTTTTTTTTTTGGGTTACCATATGAATTCTGCTACACTTAAAATGTGGCCAACTAGTAAGATTACAAACCTGGGTCGAAAACTCGACTGGAGCTTTAACAGCTGGATAAATGCTGACCTGATCGAGCACAAAAATATAGAGTCAAGGAAGAGAAGCTTTTAGTTCCATATTGCATAAAAGGCAAACAGAAAACAAGCTATCTACGCACAAAAGAGGCGAAAGTATGACAGTGAGTGAAGATTATGGGGTTTATTGGAGGGTGGCAAAATGGAAGTTCAAAAATTAAACTTGAATATGCGTAATGGGAGGAAGAATGAAGATGAAGAAAAAACCAATTTATACGTCAATTAAATCTGCGCTTCCTTTGTAAGTAATCTTATGGTAGTGGAATTAGAATGCCACGAACAAAAATGAACAGAGATTCAACAACGACGTATATGTGTTGTGTGACTATTCAAAGGATGCTGTAACTGTAAAAAAAAAGGGGATGGAATAGACCTGGGCAAGCAAGCTCTAACTACTCAAAGAAACTTCATGACGTCAACCTATATCTAAAACCATACCAATTTTTAATATCTATATGTATGATTGAATGCATGCAATTGACAGTTTGATCCACCCGTGAGTGTCGACAGTACGAGTGGTCTAGCTTACT